TCTGCTCCCTGACATTTCCTTAAATGAACTCTACAAGCTTTGTTCAGGAGTGATATCGCCTGAACTAAGTGTGAAATAAAACCCTATGGGATTCTTTTTGACCCACATATAATTATAAGAGAAGTTTACACCTCCTTCATGCCCCTTCCCACTGTTCTGCAGGTAGGGACAGGTATAGTCAATGGCTGCTTGCTGTGGGTAGCTATTGCTGCAAGTCACTAATACAATAATGGGGGGACCCGATTACAGGTCTCCCAGTTACCATGGTTGGTCTTTTTGAAGCCTTATAAGGCTAACCTCTCCTGTATTATAGTCCAAAAAATAAAAATACAGATTAATGCTAATGCAACAATCAGCGTATATCTGGCTTTATTATAAGTGGGCATCCTAGGCTGAAAAATATTGGATTTGGATATATTAAAGAGACTCTCCAGTGCCAGGAAAACAAATCAGTTTTCCTGGCACTGCAGGTTCCTGCAGTACCCCCCTCCTTTCCATCCCCCCCCCATCCCATGTTGCTGAAGGGATTAAAACCTCTTCAGTGACTTACCTGAATCCAGCGCCGATGTCCCTCAGCACTGGGTCAGGCTCCGCCCATGCTCCTGGACGCGCGCGCATTAGACCTCCCCATAGGATAGCATTATTCAATGCTTTCCTATGGGGATTCCGGCAACGCTGGAGGTCTTCATACATAGTGTGAAGATGTCCAGTGTCGTTTAAAACACTGATAGCCACTAGAGGAGGACTTAATCCTGCAAGGTAATTATTGCAGTTTATAAAAACTGCAACAATTACACCTGCAGGGTTAAGGGTGATGGGAGTTGCTACCCAGACCACTCCAATGGGCAAAAGTGGTCTGGTTACCTGGAGTGTCCCTTTAAGTATTAGCTAGTATATGGAGGGGGGCTGAACCTAATTATGATCCTCTATGGATATAGTGACCAGTACAGGATATATACGTATCTCTTAGATGGTATACAAAAAGAGCTAATAGGATATCCACTAAATGGTGAATGTATATCTACACCTAACATGCACAGAGCAATCAGTTCCATTAATTAGTGTAGTCGCTGGGGACCTTAAAGTATTAAAATGAGTAAAGAAATAGAACAGCCTCTCTCCCTGGTAAACCTGCTAGACAGGTAAAGGAAAGGAAAAGGGTATACGAAAGATATTTAAATCATCATGTCGTTGGACATGTTAGAATTAACCTTAAAGGACCACTATAGGCACCCAGACCACTTCAGCTCAATGACATGGTCTGGGTGCCAGGTCCCTCTAGTTTTAACCCTGCAGCTTAAAACAACTGCTATCTTTACATCTGAAGGGTTACAACCTGGGGGACCTGGCACCCAGACCACTTCATTGAGCTGAAGTGGTCTGAGTGACTATAGTGCCCCTTTAAATCAAAACACAAATTGCAAAACTGATTGTTTGCTAGTTCACATTACATTTGATTTATAATTACAATGTATTGATAAAAGCTGAAACAGAACATTCATACAGAAGTGTAGCTCATGTCTGCAGAATTGTGTGCAGATTATTGAAAGAAGTCTATTTCTTGCTTTATTACAGAAACCATTCAATATATCCATCCTGGGCATGATGACCTCTATCAAGCATTTTCATATGAAAATATCAGTTTACCATATATCAGTAGTGATGAAAAAATTCCACATCCCATCAATGAAACTACAACTGTTGTAGGAGAAGTCCTCTCTACGAAGCAGATCATTATTCGTCGTGGCCTGGCTGTGGTTTCGGCCGTTACTACACTGATTATTGGAATATTGGTGAAATATCTGGTGAACAGTAGATAAAACAAAAATTACCTTAATTTCATATTGAGAGTATTGTGGAAATATATTACACAAGATGGTTTCTGATGTATTTTGAAAAATGTTTGGTTTTGGTTTGCTTTTTTTTTTAAACTTATGATTCCATCTGATGAATACAGATTGAAGATAGTGTTTACATTATATGTGGCTATTCTATATATAAATATATATATTTTTTCATTTTTAATTGTTAAATATTATTTGTTTAAAAATGTTCAACACACCTCAAAAAAGATGTTTTGTACAATAATATTTTATCTTTCTCTATTGTTAAAATGCTGTTGAAATACAATGTAACCTCCATGTTTTTACACTTTTTTAAAACAAAATATGTAAAAAAAAAAAAATTTTTACATCTTCAATTAAGATTATACATTCAAAAAATCAATATGAAATAAAGCAAAGTACACATGTATACCATTCACCACATGTCTTAAATGAATTTGTGACAACACAGGCGCCAAATGTTATAATTTTTGGTCACATTATTATAGAACATATTCAATATCATTTCTGACATCACCAGCTTCCTTTGGATCTGAGATAGATTCATATTATTACAAATGTTTATTCTTTTTTGTTATGAATATTATACTTACAAACTTGGGTTTCATTTATACTCAGGGTTAAATGGTGGACAATTACAACATACGGGATTGGTGTGTCAGCAATTCATTTATCTACGTTTAATTCATAGCTTAGAAAAAATATTCACTGCGGCACTACACATATATGAAGCATATAAAGGGTTAATAATAGCAATTGAGCAAAGCCCTACCCACAGCTCCTACTAACTTATCCATTGGCTAATGAATATCCAATCAATGATAGCGGCACCCCATTTGAACCTCTATCTCCCCAGACTCTGTTCCCCTGGAAGAGCTTTAATGGCAAAACGCGTGTTGGGACTTTTACAAAGTATGATGCTGGTCCAAGAGACATGGGGCAACTTCAACAAAGATCTTTATTGACAGCTCCAGCCATACTTTAACTTTAATCATCTTTTATCCTTATGTTTATACACAAGTTATTTTCCTTATTTTTCTTATTTAATTCTTAGTTTGGTTTACACCACAGCCGTACAGCACAATAACTTAACAGAAGGAGGAGGGGGGATCCGAATTTTTTAAGGGGTGCCCTCGAAGGCACATCAGAGTAGGGAAACTAGAAATATATTTAACTACCTGCAGGGCTTCCCTCTCTATTTCTGCAACATTATATCTCTCCACTACTGATTAATACGGAATGTAACAGTTGCAACTCTTAAAATCCTGTTACACTCCCTTTAACATTGCAACAATACGGAGAAATTACTGAACTTTCAAACCTTTTTTGCTAAACCATTATTTATTTCATTTAGATTACTTCTTTTCATTCAATTCCTTTTTCTTTTGACTATATTTATTAATTTTATATATATATTTTTTATATATATATATATTTATTTTTTTTTAGAGCAATTTGAATATTTTCATTTCATCCATTTTTTCATTATGATCTGATAGAGGTGTTTTCCTATCACAGATACTATTTTTACTTATGATAAGTCCTGCTAATATTTTAAATAATCATGTTAAAAGTGACGTTTTATAACTTTATTTATTTTTGGGTTACTCTTTTCACAAAGGGGCTATCACCTAAACGGTTCCCCCTTGTGTTTTGTTCCTATTGTTGCAAACTCTGTCTGGGGGTTACCCCCACTTCCCTTATTAGAGTAACCTGACACTTTCTCTCTAGACGATTACTATCGTTTAGTATTCAATAAAAATGATACATTAAAAAAAATCAATATGATATAAAGCAAAGTACACAATGGTCAACAATACAGGGTGGTAAAAACAAGAGAACAAGTGAAAATAAAATTAAATAAAAATAAATAATGCTTCCAAGAAATGTCCTTGATTTTCAAGATGGTCGACATCAGCTGCAGACCCCGAATGGCTGTTTCTGTATGGCAATGCTTGGATTAAAAAAAACAAAAAACAATATCCACTATGTTGCTTAGAACAGCACGGCCCTGAAGTACCTGGCTGTGCCTCATAGAAAGCTGGTCAACTGAAAGTTTGCGCTTGATCGATTTGCCTTTAATATTGACCATATAGGCTTCACTGGCACATTTATGGCACTGGGACTGCTCATGCTCCGTGAGTCTTGTACTATGTCTCCATTCATTACAACCTTGTATGCAATAAAGTATGATGATATTTTTCTGAAGAGTACATAAGGCAAATTGGACAGTGCAGGGTCTTCTTTAGTATACTGCTCCACAAATGACAGCTAGAAAGCCAATATTTTCAGCAATTACAGATGCCCTTGAATGCACAGATTAGTTTCATTAGGAGCAGTATGACTAATTACCTAATTTTTCACTTTATGCATTCGCAAACTGTTTTAATAGTGTGAGTTAGATTTTGTTTACTTTAGGTAAACACAGGTGCCCTTGAAGGCACAGATTACTAAAGACATCAAGCAGTTTAATCTCTAGCATTTTGATATTATGATGGGTACTAGGGCTGCAGATTTGAGTTAACTAGCATCAGCCCTATAGACTCTAGCACATACACCCATTTAAGCACAGATCAGATAACAGACTGTTTACTATCCCCTTAATTATTACCTCTGCTAGCGATATAGTGCTTGTACCACTGGTTACTTTGCTTAGTCCTCCTTCGGACCTTTCTCTATATATCCAAGAATTTGTTATCCAGAGACTGAGCATTGTTTAGCTGAGGGGCTCCCCTGGCACAGCATAACAATGGTGACACTATGCTGTATCCTATAGATATTAGTGAGAAATTACAATCTATCTCTTACAGCATATACATTACCGATTAGTGTTTTCACTTAGCTCTGGTAACTTCCAGTATTTGTATATATGTGTATATTTTGTGTTTACTTTATTAGCACTACAATTTAGTAGCATTGTGTTTCATTATCACATTTCCTGTGTGGTTATACTTTACTGCAACCTAGTGGTCATAAAATAACCATTTTTTTTACCAGTTGACACATTAAAAGTTACGTTTTATAATATGACCAATTATATTTGGGCTAAAATATTTTCTCTCTCTCCTCTAACGTTCATTCACAAATTGGGTTCATGCTCCACCCCTTTAGCCCAGAGATTCTATAATCATTCTCCAGCCCCCCTTTTCTTCTTAGATTACAACAATATATTCCTTAGTACATGAACAGTCTCCCAACACACACCTGGACAATGTAGATGCAGGACAGAGTACACTGTACCACTCATCACTGAGAAAAGGACGAGTGCTCATTCCTGGAGAAGAGAGCTTGCAAGACCCATCAAATAAGTACACAATGTGTACCAAGAGCAGAAGTGTTAGTTTCATCCAAATTTGTTGCCCGACACTCTCAGCCAGTTAGAGCCAACCAAATCTGAAAATGCAAAAGTGTACCAATATCATATGAAGAGGGACAGGCTGCATGCAAATGTATGTGTCAAACCACAGTGCAGCGAGTCTTCCTTTAACCCCTTAGTGACCAGAACAGTTTTCAATTTTCTTTCCGTTAAGGAGCAGGGTTCTTTTTACATTTCTGCAGTGTTTGTGTTTAGATGTAATTTTCCTCTTACTCATTTACTATACCCACACATATTATATACAGTTTTTCTCACCATTAAATGGTCTTCCTAAAAATACCATTATTTTCATCATATAATTTACTATAAAAAAACAATCTAAAATATGATGAAAACATTTTAAAAAACACTTTTTCTAACTTTGACCGCCAAAATCTGTTACGCATCTACAACCGCCCAAAAACATCCATGCTAAATAGTTTCTAAATTTTGTCCTGAGTTTAGAAACACCCAATGTTAACACGTACTTAGCTTATACTATACTATAAGTACAAGTAGCACTTTGCTATTTCCAAACAATTTTTTTTTTTCAAAATGAACATAAATTACATTGTAACACTAATATCTGTCAGGTATCCCTGAATAACCCTTCACATGTATATTTTTTTTAAAAGAAGACAACCTAAGGTATTAAACTTGGGGTATTTTGACTCTTTTCATGCAACCATTTTACCACCAATCTATGCCAAATAAAAAAAATTTAAAAAATAATTGGTAATTTTCTTTTGACACACATAGCAATTTAAAAATACATGTACGGAGAACGTTAAAGGTTACTGCCAAACACCCCAATATGTGTTCAGCAACATCTCCTGAGAACAGTGATACCCCCCATGTACAGGTGTGTCGGGTTCTCTGGGGGCTAAAAGACCTTATTTGGAGGGTGCGCATTCTAGTTTTCCAACTTGAAATTTTCACAGATAGCCATCATGCAACCATGTCCTATTTGGGACATTTTTGAAGCCAGACAATGTAATTTACCCCCATCAAACCATATATATATATATTTAAATTTCAAATGGTGGTATTTTAACACTCTCCATGCACTAATTCTACCACCAATCTATGTAAAACTTTAGGGAAGTCATTTTTTGGGGTTATTTTTCTCTCGCATTGATTCTCAGTTCATGTTATGTGTTACTGACAAAGAACACCCCAAATTGTGTTCAGCAACATCTCCTTAGTACAACAGTGCCCCCAATGTACAGGTTTTCTGGGTTTTTGCAAACGTATAGGTGTCAAATGTAGGACTTTCCTTTTTCCATATTTGCACATTGAAATTTTCAAGATTACTTTACTGGCCTATGTTGCCTTTGAGCCCATATAGCCAGGGCCAGCGCTACCTGTAAGGCGACCTAGGCAGCCGCCTAGGGCGCAACTTAGCAGGAGGCGCTGGATCCCTGGCCCAGAGTCACCACTGCGGCTCCTCATGCTGCGCCGCCTGAGCGCTTTTACAAGCCTCAGGCGGCGCAGCACTGCTGTGGATGGAAAAAGGGAAAGTCCTACATTTGACCCCTATACGTT